GCGCGGGCGGCGGCGGCGGCTCCTCGTCCTCGCCGGCCGCCACCTCGGCCGCCGCCGCCGCTGCAGCCGCCGCCGCCGCCGCCGCCGGGGCCGGAGCCCCGTCGGTGGGGGCTGCCGGGGCGGCAGACGGCGGCGACGAGACACGGCTGCCCTTCCGCCGGGGCATCGCGCTGCTGGAGAGCGGCTGCGTCGACAACGTCCTGCAAGTCGGTGAGTCACGGGGCAGCCGCGGAGCCGTCTGTCTGTCCGTCCGTCCGTCAGTTCCTCGGGGAGGGGCGCCCGACCCCTCTCCTCCCGGCAGCCCCTCAGCCGGGCGCGCGTCCACACCTCCGCCCGGTGCCCTTACCGGCCGGGACCGTCCTCCCGAGCGGAGCGCCCATTTCCTCCTCGCCCCTCCCCGCCTCTGTCTCCCCGGACGGGCCAGCGCGAGTGGGAAATGAATCAGCAGGACTCGCCCCGCGGCGGGGTTGGCGGGGTGGGTTGTCGGATGCCCCCGGCCCGCTCCATACCCCGCCTTCCTCCCGGGGAGCACGTCCTGGAGGGCTGCTCGTCCTTTTTGGGGGGTGGTTGTGGACAAAGGCGCAGGCGGACGGCCGGGCTCCGGCGGAGGGTGTGTGTGGCGGGGCCGTGCGGGGCGGGGGAGGGGGCGCGGGCCGCACAGACAATGCCGGCCGGAGGCGAGCCGGCGGCCGGGCCGCACTCTGCTCTCTCCCTGCCCTCTTCCCTTGTCTGCCGCTCGCTCCTCTTTCTTTCTCCTCTCTCCCCCTCCCCGTTCCCTCTATTGGAGGGGTGGGGACTACATTTTAATGCCACTCGGCTGCCGCTCTTCTCGGGGCTCCGACGGGCTGGCGGCCGCGGCGCTCTCCGGGGTCGTTGCGGCGTCTGGTCTGGCCCGGGGGAGCTCCGCCGGCGGCCCCGGGATTTAAATGTCTGTTTATTCCCCGCGCCTCCCCTGTCTAGGAGCAGCGCGGGAGGGAGGGGGCGGCGGGCCGGACCCCCTCTCAGAGATCTCTCTCTCCCGCCGAGGGCGTCCCCGCGTCGACAGGCGCGAGCCTGGGAAGGAGCGGCTGGCGCTTCCCTTTCCTGCCGGGCCCGGCGGTGCCCGGGGGGGAGCCTGCCGCCGGAGTTTGGTTAGCGCTGGGTGGCGGGTGGCGGTGCGCGGGGCGAGCTGCGGGGAGCAGTTACGGGCTTTGCGCTCGCAGCCGGCGGCGGCGGGAGCGCGAGGCGGAGGGGCTCCGCAGCCGCGCAGTGTCCCTCCAGGCGCGGCCGCCTGGCAGCCGGGCGCGACCCCGCACTTTGTTCTCATTTTCAGGTTTATTTGTGCCCCTTTCAGTTTTCTGTCATCCTCCGAAAGGGAGGACCCAAACAAAAGAGTCTCTATTTCTTTTCAGAGCTTGTAAAGTAGAAGATGTTTGACAAAGGCGAGAGAAGGACTTGTGATTTAAAGCTGCACAGCCCTCCTTTCTCTGACAGACCATGAGAGTTTTCTCAAATACCGAGTTTAAAAGCTTTCCCTGTCGTCGCTCCCTACCCCCAGTGTTTTTTTTTCTGGCCAGCTATCTTTTTCAACCGTAGGATGGGGATGTTTGGGCTGGACTGAAAAGAACAATGCTATTATGAAACTCCCTTCTTTCCGTATTTTTCTCTTGATTGTAAACGACATATTTTCTCTCCCCCCTTCCGTATTGCTCTCTACTTTAAATAGTATTGCGGTGAGCATGGTACCTAACGAATGAGGAGACGGTTGGAAGCATCCCTGTTTCTGATTTTTCTTTTCTTTGCGTAGTCCGTTCTTTTTATCCTTCTCTTTGGGAGTCTAGTGGGGGTCTGGTTAGGGGCCCCAAAAGAGAATGAAGATTTCTTTAATCCTCTGTGGTTAATTTGAATTCTAAATCAATCTGCAAACGTGATTTTCTGTATGGTCACTTATTTCCAAAGGCGGCCCCCAGTGTTGTCTTTTCTAGGTTCTGTACCTTTTTCTTATTTCTAGAGGGGTTTTAACTTTTGAGGCTCTCCATTCTTAAAAAAAACGAAACAAAACAAAACTAATTAGCATTCTTTAAAGTTATACCTCTTTCCCCAACCCTCACGTCCCCCTTGTTTCCTGCTGGGTTGAAATGGATTGAAGTACATCCATGGTTTCTCAGTATAACCAGACTAGAGTTTGGGAATTTTTATGGCTTGGCTGGCAATGTTGAATTTTTTTTTTCCCCCTTCTGTGCTTGACTCTGCTTGCAAGCAATGAGGAATGACAGGAGAGCACATAGGGAGGGTTTCTTGGCTGATTACATTTAAGCCAGGAATTCACTGTGAAAATAAAGCCAAGGGGCGATAAATAAAAGATGCAATCTTCTCTAGGAGACAGACACACAGCGTGGGCTTTGCCTGCTTTCATCAGTGAAGAGGCCTGGGTGAGTTGTAAAAGAAAATAGTAACTTTTTGAATAGTCCCCAAAGGGGACTAAGGCCACTGAATGGAGTTGGCAGTGGTTGATGTGAAGCAGTGTGATGTTCTTGCATAGTTGGAATTGACCACCCTTTTGGAAACACTTACATACGTGCTAAACAAGTGCTGTACAAATTGTGGAAAATATTCTTTTTTCCCCTCTGAGTTTTGCCAGTTTCCTTAACTTCCAAGTTGTATTACTTGTTGTGCCAGTCAGCTTACTAGATGGAAGGCTGTTAAATGCTTGGCAGCTGGCACTGTGAGATAGAAAACTTTACGACCAGGATTTTTGTTCTGGAAGGGGAATGGAGAGAATGACTAGATTAACCATCTAATTTAGCTTTGGTTGGTGGGTTGAATTGGTATGTTAATGCAAGAGGCTTATTTTATAATTTTGCGAGCTGTGGTAGAGGTTGTTTGAGCTTCAGAACCTGAAATGGGAAAGAACATGATACCATGATAGGACCATAAGCAGTGTTTTGGTATTGCAAAATTGCAAGTTTGTTTGTAGGCGAAGTATTTACTGACTTTTGTAGAGGTGACTGAATTATAGATGGAAGAGGTACAATCTAATTTTTGGACTTCATTTTATATCCACACTTAGAGATTATTTAAGGATCAAGGGTCAGAGAATTGGGACTTCCCAGAAATTAAACATACTTGTTATTTTTCAACTCCTATTTTAAGAAGAAATTTAAAAGAAAAAAATTAAGGCTTTGGTGTAGTAGTTGTAAAAGGTATTTAATTGGTGCAGAGCTGTCCATCAGTTGATTATAGGAAGTTTTAGAGAAAGTATGCTTGGCTTATTTTTATTAAATAATGATACATTAAAAGGGAGCCATTGCCAAGGGTGCTTGTATGTTAGTATTATTGACATCATTGAAGTAATAATTTTAGAAGTCATGTAAAAAATTTCCCCCCAAATATTGCCTGGCAAAGAGGTTTCCTAATATGATCTGGAACTCAAATTATAAAGACAATTCAAATTAAAAGACAGATAATTTTAATTAGATAAAAAAACAACATTGCTGTAGGACTGAAAATATGATAAGCAGCTAACTGGGGCAAATATGTGCAGCATGTTGCAGGCTAATAGAACTATGAAAAATTAGTTTAAAAAATAAAAAAGAGAAAGATGAGTAAGTTAAAAAATGAGCAATGGTTTTAACAAAGAAATGCAAATGATTAATAAATTTGTCTTCACTCTTACATAAGGAGACACAAATAAAGGTGACTTGCCATGTTCATCTGCTACAATGGTGAAGACAAAAAAGATGGGTACATAGTACCCAGAATTGGGTGAGGAGGTGGGAGAAGATGCTGCCTCCCCATCTGCTTGGCTCAGTCTTTTTTGTGTCATTTCTAGAAATTTATCTTACAGACATATTGATACTAGTGCACAGATCTGTACAGCGAGCAGTGCTCGTTGCAGTATGATTTGTAATACTGAAAAGCTGGAGTCAATGGAAATTTCCATCAGAAGGGCAGTGGTTAAGAAGTACTCTGTGGAATTCTATGCAACCATGAAAAATAGTGAAGGAGAGAAATATATATACTGAGGAAAAAAAGACCAGAACATTCATTTAAAAACAAGTCATACGTTCATATAGTAGGCTGTAATTTCTGTTTGAAACAAAAAAGACAGACCTTACTTACAGATATATAAAAATGTCCCAAAGGTTATACGAGCAACCATTGAACAGTGGCTAGCTATCTTTGGGGAAGGGCGGTCAAGTGGATAGGCAAAGTTTTGAGGGTAATTTTACTTTACTTTTCTTTTTTTTTTTTAAGATTATTTATTTATTTATTTGACAGACAGAGATCACAAGTAGGCAGAGAGGCAGTCAGAGAGAGAGAGAGAGAGGGAAGCAGGCTCTCTGCTGAGCAGAGAGCCCGACGCGGGGCTCGATCCCAGGACCCTGGGATCATGACCTGAGCCGAAGGCAGAGGCTTTAACCCACTGAGCCACCCAGGCGCCCCTAATTTTACTTTTCATTTTACGACTGTATTATGGTCAGATTTTTCTTCAGAGTAGAAAAAGAAGCATGTATTTTGGTAATGCATGTGTTTTTCTGTTTATCCTTGTGTTTTTTAGTTTATATTTTTTGTTTTGGGGCACATGTGTTCGGTTTCTGAAGATTGGTGTATGTTCAGTTTTGTTTCAAGACAGACAAGTTTCCTTATTGGTGACTAAGCATTTTAAAAGCAAGAAGTGTTCAAACAAAACTGGGATCTTGTCTTTAGTATGGGCAGGAAGGGGATAATTTTTAAAAGGAGTTGCTTTTTTTTGTTTGTTTTGTTTTGCTGGTAACTTTTGGGGGGAGAATAGAATATTGTCCACATTTCTGTTAATACTTTGGTAAAAACATTGTTGTGGTCTTTTCAAATTCGTAACCTAAAATTTTTTGTTTTAGGGGGTGGCCAGGCAGTAAAGGGCAATCTTTTTTAGGATTAGGTTGGATAAAATTTTTAATCACTTTATTTATTTAAGGCTAAATTGTTGGTATTTTTTTGAGGGTTTTGGTTTTCTTTAGAGACCAGAAATTGTTATATAAAGATGTGATTCCAGATGCACTTTCAGAACTGGGTGTTTTGTTTATTGGTGATAGTAATTTCAGTGAAAGCATTTTCTAGAGTAAAATGATAATATGGAATGGTTTAAAAATCAGGTCCTGTATGTTTTCTGCCTTTTGATTAATGAAGAAGTACCCAAAAGAAAAAATTTTGTAACTATAGTTGCATACGTATTTTTTTTTATTCTGTGC